CAACATTACTCTGTCAAGCAGAAAACTTTATTTATATTACAAACTGGTTGTGCATTATGACTCAATTGAAAATATGACTACAAAACAATCAATATGAATAATTATTACCCTTGATTCAACTTTTTACAAATGAGTTTTGAAGCCATTTACATAGAACCACGTATGGAAATTGAATTTGCGAAATGCTAAGTTTCAGGCATTTTCTATATTTCACCCTTATATTTGTAAAGGAGCTCTCGCTAGTCACACATCTGGCCCGTGTTAAGATTGAACAATTTTGTAAAATGTATCACTATTGAGATAAGTGAAAGTGTATAATACAAAACTAAGAGTGGAAACCCTTGTAGAAATTCCTTGTTCCTGTATTCTACATTTTTTAAGTTTTTAATGCAAAGACCACTGATTTAGCCAAGTACCGCAGATGGATGACAGTTTGAAACAATAACACACTGTTTTACGTAGCTACACTAATGAAAATGTGTGTAGAATTTTGTGGTGTATCAATTCTTTGTACATCAATAAGGACATGTCTATCAGTAATAGTATTATATAACTTCCCAAATAAAAAAGAAAGAATGAATTAAATGATCATTCGTGACTTGGTAGACCTTTTTATGGACTAGAATGTATGTGCAGAAGTGATAAGAATGCCCCGATGGAGAAAATTCCATGAATTATTCAATACGTTTTGAGTAGAAATTAATGCTGCAGAAAGCAGTATGATAGATATAAGTGTTATTGATGGAACTATCACTGTATTACTTCTGAAAAAGTGTTACTGTATTAGTTATAGTTGATCAGTGAAAATGATTCTTTTTGTATTTATATCTCATTGTTTTGAAACCTCTTATTCGGCTTTTGTTTAACAACCGATACAATATAAGTTTTGTTGTTGCTTAACTTCGTCCTTATAGTGATAATTTTGCATAATTTGAAAAATAATTTGGGAAATATAGATGTTTAGAAATTCGATTCTAGATAATTTTGTGAAAATGTGTTTCTTTCGCGACACGTAGAACGAATATAGAGATGCTTATAAACTAAAATTTAGCCTATTTTGATCAGATATATTTTAACCTGCTTGCTTTATATTCAAAGACTTCAAAATACATGAATCATACTTGCAACATTAAAATGTAAGTAACATTGCAATAATATTTAATTTCAAACAACCATAGAAAAATTCGTAATATTATTTTCCACTCAAATAGGGCAATTTGTCTGTTTTGTGTTTAAATCATATGATTTAAAAAACATTGATTTCTTTTTTCTTTTTTAAAAGTATATTTACATTAAATATTCTATACAAATTTTTATTGGGTGCATTTATCAACAGTAAGAAATACTTATGGTGAAGTGTTGATTTAAATGTCGAATTATTCATTACGATAGAAACCAAAATGATCCGAAATTCAATAATCATCGTCTCATGTAATAAAATGGCAACTATATTCTATTAGGAACACACATTATTTGAAGCTCTAGAAGATGACAATTCTCAAATCTATTCTGATGAATGAATAGATGATTATATGGTTATGTATGGACAATATGGCTTCATTCGATAACAGTCACATCCATATCTCGTACATTATTAACAAAGCTGAATGACAAAAAGACGAAAACATTATATGATTCACTGAAAAGATTTAAGAATATTGCTTTCTAATGAGACTATGACACTTGATGACTCTTTTGAGGAGGAAGGCATGAAGGGCTTTCAAATAATTACACAAAACGATTTATCTAAATTCTTTAAAACAATCGAAAGTATAAAAAGAATCGGAATTTTAAGAAGCAAATTTTAATCGATTTTTGAACGTTTGTATTTTAAGTTCGTCCGATATTTTAGAGTGAACAATTGTGACACGCATGCCTGATATCGGTACTGATATTGAAAAGTGGGGTCATATTAATACTGTGAACATTTTGTAAACAAAACAAATAAAACTTTACAACTTTTTCTATCATTAATATCAAAAACAAAATTTAGTCTTATGCATACAAGAATAAGATCGATGCCGATAATATGTTTGTTCAATCTTACAATGTAGGCCAATTATTTGTTTAAAATGCCTTAAACAATCTGATTGGTCCAGAGTTAATAGTAATGTTTTACCGAACTCTTTTTGAAACATGTATTTGTTAACTGTTATGACAGTATAATATTTTCTTAAATCATTTCTTCTCAGAGACTAAACTTGTCTTCTTATTTTCTCGAGGGCAATAAAACTAATTAGATACTTTTCTCTGTGTGAAAACTGCTGTTTTGGTATATGTTAGATCCACGAGCGGCGCAAGGCATGGATAAACATTAACAAGGCTTTTTTTACTTGAAACAACATTTTTTATTAGAAAAAGTAGGAAAATAAGACAAAAAAATCATGATTAAGTGTTATCCGAATTCACCTAAAATTCTAATTTTGTAGGAACGTTTGTATGTTTTCCGAACTTATTTTTTTGGATAAAATTAGTGACAAGTCTAATATTTACTAGTATTTAATTTCTATGCGGGTTTTATTTATAAAAATAATTGAGGTTCGATATCAGCCGGAAAAATGCCTCACACATAAATACTCTTTAAAGGTAAATAGGGACATTATGATGTCATCAATTAGCAACATGATGTTGTGAAACACACCATTTTAACGACAAAAGTAGAACCAAGAATCTTCTATTTTGTGTTTACTATGTTTAGTAGAACCTGTTTACTATGATAAGTAGAACCTCTTAACACATAACGGCCTTTAAATAAAGAGGTTTATTTAACAGTTGTAACAACATTGTAATTTGCCATTGCAGAAAAAGAAATAACAAAAACATAATTGAATGGGATAAGGCCGTGACTTTATTAAGCATTTGGTGCAAATAAATATCAATGAAAACAAAATATGAAATAATGTAATGAATAAAATATGAAAGACAGCTCCCAGCGAAAATGCTTGGACAGCTACATAGCAACGCAATGGTGCTGAAACTATGATAATAAGCGCTAAATATGCTAAATTCTGTTACAATACGGTCTTGGAAATGGAGTCGTATGGCATGGAAAATCCAGTAGAAAATAACATATTCAGAGCTAAAGAGAAAACGAGGCGAAGGTGAACTCTCAGAGATCTCCGTATATAATGAGATGATGTTGACGGACAGCATTCATTGCACCGAAATGCACATAATAGCGTGTATTGAGGGCAATTATGTATTACATACGTTAATTATTTAAGCACACACCATTACAAATTTCAGAAAAAATGATGAAAGTTTAGAAAGTCAACTACTAGGACGCCTATTTAAGCTCTTTTTTTTAATGATAAAACATATAAATATGTTTGTTTATATAAATAGATGGAAAACCGAATATATGGAGAGCGACAATGCAGGGTTGGACGTAGCAACTAAGCTACTATGTTCTAAATAACCATCCAAAAAATTGACTGAGCTAAGCGGCAGACAAAGATTCGAACAGGGGGGCTAACATGTCTGTTTCAACATACCCATTTTGTTAGAGGTTTGTAGCAAAGCCATCTATTTTTTTTGAATATGTACGGACCCACACGTACATACTATTTTTGCAGCTATCGACAGACCACTAATAGCCGTTTGGCCGAAAAGCTGAATTTTAACCCTGTTCATATAAGACACAGTCAATTCAAGGACATGGTGAACGGCCGACCTTTAGGTCTAGGCCCCCTCTAACGGTTAAAGGGCGCCCGCCCAATAACACCAATGATAAGAGATGGCCAACCGAACGCGAGGTTGCAGATACGGGAGGCCAACCTAGAAGAAAAAATACAATTTCTTTTTTTCCTTTTTTTTTTTTCTTTTTTTTTTTTTTTTTTTTTTTTTTTTTTTTTTTTTTTTTTTTTTTTTTTTTTTTTTTTTTTCTTTTTTTTTTTTCTGAGGGATTTTTTTTTTTTTTTTTTTTTTTTTTTTTTTTTTTATTAATTTTGGAGGCTCGGGCTGTTAAAATAAAAAAGAGTGTACGAGGGTTGTCCCAAAAGTCCGTGACAAATTTCATAGCCGGTTCATTTTTAACGCCAATAGAAAATAATTCACACATATAACCGTTAAGTTTATTATTTAACATTACAACAAATCATTTACAAAACAATTACCCTAGTTACTTAGAAATTTTCAGTATTAACGATATTGGTTTGAGTTGCCGGCGCACGTCAAATAATTTACATTTGTTATGAATAGGCTGAAATTAATTACATATAATTTAAATATCTGATGATATGTCTGCACAATGTCACGTTGACTTCGTCTGCTGCTATATTTAAATCATCTCTGAAAATTTTAGTTAAATAACTTAAAAAACGAAAAAGATACGAATAAATGAAAATATCTCATATAAAATAGGAAAGTTAAAATGGCGACGTTCGAAGAATTTGCGACGCAGTGAACATGTCACTCAGGTTTCATGACTATTTCGAGATGACATATGTAACGAATTTCAACAAATATACCAAATATAACAGTTTAGCAACATATTCTGAGCATTTGTGTATAAAAGGCATGAACGGAACCAGAGTTTTGCGCTACAAGAAGCGAAAATAAGGAAAACACGGATAGGAAGACCGATCTTCGTCGCCTATTTCCTAGAGGTAAAAACAGGAGTAACGAGACCGGAAGTTCGTGTATAGCAAAAATTAATGTATGCCATCCAAACATTCAACAGACATTAACAATCACATGATTTAAGTCAGAAATTGACGATTTATGAGTACCATTATTGCGTTGAAAGCAGTTGAGAGTATTTGAAAAAGGCGCCTTATATAGATTAAACGCCGTCTTTGACGTTGGACGTGCGCCGCGATTCAGTTAGTTTCCATGGTGTTTATGGCATACTTTTGTTGTTTGTTGATATTTATCTATGAAAATTTGTGAAAATGTTTAAATTATATGGGTTTATAACATATTAAAATATCAAATTCGTACCTGTTTTATTTAGCTTTTAATCAATCTTGTCACAGAATATTGGGACAACCCTCGTATAATCATTTATAAAACAAAACCGGTGCTCACACAAAAAAAATAAAATTGCATTAGAGTAAAATCTTTGACGAGTGAAATAGATGACTTTCAAAATTAAGTTCAATAAAATGAAAGAGCTAAAGTCACGACGGACGATTAGAACAGGGGGGGGGGGGTTAACATGTCAATTAACACACACACAAAAAAAAGGAAAAAATCTTATAACATACAAGTTCATCTCGAAACTGATACAATTGAGTTATCTCTAGGTTAAATTTCGACAAAGGACAATTGTGTGCCCAATAAAAAGTCTAACATGCGCAATTAATCAATCTGCAAACTGTGGTCGACTCGCTCAGGAAAACCAAAACCCATTGGGAAAATAGGAAACCTGCATCCGTTTGTCAATGTCATACCACCGGATGTCGGATCGCATCCTTGCAAATTGATACAAATTTTACATTTACGCATGTTTTGAAATTATTTAAATGTTCTATTGGAGTATTTTTTAACTTTACGCATTTGCACAATTATTAGTTACGCCTTTTAACACTGTTAAAGATTACAAGTTTTAAAACTGTTTATAAGTTAAATGTCCACTGCAGACAGCTTTTGTCTCAGCTATGAACATCATACAGTGATGAAAGTTAACACTATGTCCAAGTTAATTACGGATGGTCTCCTTATTGTGGTACTCTTTAGTTGGGCAAGCAGCATGGCATGGCATGGTTTAACAGTGGAATGGAGTCCGGCTCACAGCTGAAATATAAAGTCTTGACAGCAGTAAAGCGTACAACAAAATTTGTATATAAATATCAGCAATTAAGGGTAGGGTGGGTGGGGTTTTAATGAACGATGTAATCACGTTGGAATTTAAGCTAGAAGTGATTTACTAAAGCTGTAGGATTCTACGCACGGAATTCATGTGACAGAGATAACGGTGTAAACTTCTAAACCTGTTTTATACACGCTTAGACGAGTGTTGATACGGTCATGCATTAATAACCCGCTAAATTAAAACGCTTTATTTAATAAAGAAAATAAACCTACTTAATTTCTATGCGGGTTTTATTTATAAAAATAATTGAGGTTCGATATCAGCCGGAAAAATGCCTCACACATAAATACTCTTTAAAGGTAAATAGGGACATTATGATGTCATCAATTAGCAACATGATGTTGTGAAACACACCATTTTAACGACAAAAGTAGAACCAAGAATCTTCTATTTTGTGTTTACTATGTTTAGTAGAACCTGTTTACTATGATAAGTAGAACCTCTTAACACATAACGGCCTTTAAATAAAGAGGTTTATTTAACAGTTGTAACAACATTGTAATTTGCCATTGCAGAAAAAGAAATAACAAAAACATAATTGAATGGGATAAGGCCGTGACTTTATTAAGCATTTGGTGCAAATAAATATCAATGAAAACAAAATATGAAATAATGTAATGAATAAAATATGAAAGACAGCGCCCAGCGAAAATGCTTTGACAGCTACATAGCAACACAATGATGCTGAAACTATGATAATAAGCGCTAAATATGCTAAATTCTGTTACAATACGGTCTTGGAAATGGAGTCGTATGGCATGGAAAATCCAGTAGAAAATAACATATTCAGAGCTAAAGAGAAAACGAGGCGAAGGTGAACTCTCAGAGATCTCCGTATATAATGAGATGATGTTGACGGACAGCATTCATTGCACCGAAATGCACATAATAGCGTGTATTGAGGGCCACACAATATTTTATGAAATAAAATTCGCCAATCATAAAATACCTATTACAATCACGATTTATTTTAAGGTAATATAGACTTTTACTTATATTACGATGGGAAGACATACATATACATGTGTACTTATATTCTTACATTGAATTTATGCCGATTGATAAACACCATTATAATATGGGGAGACTTTTGAAAGAGACATACTGGTAACGTAAGACAGAAACATTTTTCCGGAAGGGTTTGAATGCAAAGGTGCTTTACAAATAATAAAATCGTTTTTCAAGTATATATACTTGCAACTTTTTTACAAACTCGTCAATATCTTTTTTAGTACATATCGGCATAAAAAGACTGTTCTATTTTAGTAATCATTAACTGTATCTAAAATTGCTGTTAAATTATTTGAATCTATACAAATACATTATTTACGTCGATGATATAAGTATTTAATTACCTCCCTTTATTCGCGCATATTTTTGATTGTTACATTTATATTCTACATTATTAGCTCGACTATACGAAGTATATGGAGAGCTGTCCTACTGGCCCCGGCGTCGGCGTCGGCGTCCGCGTCCAGATTTTAGATTAAAGTTTTGGTGCAGTAAAATATTTTTCACTATAACTTTGTCATTTCTTAAGGTATCAACTTCAAACTTTAAATATATGTTCCTTATCATCAACCACATCTTATGTGACAAGGTTCATAACTCTAGCACCAATATTTTCAGATTTATCTCCCCTTGAACTTAGAATTTTCCTTAAAAAATACTATTTTTTACTGTTACTTCTTTATTTCTTAAGGGATCAACCTCATACTTCAAATATATGTACCTTATCATCATCCCCATCTGATGTGATAAGGTTCATAACTCTAGCACCAATATTTTCAGATTTATCTCCCCTTGAACTTAGAATTTTCCTCAAAAAATACTATTTCTTACTGTTTCTTCTTTATTTCTTAAGGGATCAACCTCGTACTTCAAATATATTTATGTTATCATCATCCCCATCTTATGTGACAAGGTTCATAACTCTAGCACCAATATTTTTAGATTTATCTCCCTTTGAACTTAGAATTTTCCATAAAAAATCTTATTTTTTACTGTTACTTATTTATATCTAAAGTGATCAACTTCATACTTCAAATATATATACGTTATCATCATCCACATGTTATGTGACAAGGTTCATAACTCTAGCGCCAATATTGCAAGAATTATCTCCCCATAAACTTAGATTTCTTTACTAGAAAAATCTTATTTTTTATTATAACTTTTTTTTTTAAAGGTATCTACCTCAAACTTCAAATACTTATTCCTTATCATCAATTACATTTTATGTGACAATGTTCATAACTCTTGAAGCAATATTTACAGATTTATCTCTCTTTGAACTTAGGATTTTCTTTAAGAAATATAATAACTTCTTTACTTTTTAAGGTATCTACTTCAAACTTCAAATATATATTTCTTATCATTACACAAATGTTGTGTGACAAGGTCCATAACTCTAGCATGACTATTTCTAGAATTATTCCCCTTGATCTTGGAATTAATGTTAACAAATGTTATGTTTTTACTATTTTTTAATACATAATTATACATAATTGATTTTCCTTTCATAGTTTTGTCCTCCTTACTGCGTCCAGTATTTTATTAGTCGAGCTTCGCTGTCTCCTGTGACAGCTCTTGTTCATAATGTATTAATATGATTTTTGATTATTTCGTATAACATAAATTGATTTTGAGCATAATACCATGTTTTGAATAGATAATAGATAGATCATTTTCATTTTATTTGATAGCTTTATAAGATATACTGATTGATAACGATGTTTCTAAATTATTATCTCCCTTTTTTACAATTTTCTACATGTGATTAAATTTAAAGCACATTTTTTTCGGATTCTAAACTTTCACATAAGTACTCACTACTTGTTATTTTCATACTTGTTGTAATTATTTACTAGCCTAGTTTCTCTATGAAAATATATGTATCTTATGATCAAGTTAGTTTATATGTATGTAATTCTTTTGAAAATTATATATGCTATGTAAAAAAATACGTTCATACATACATGTGCACATGTTTTATTGTATTACTTATTGTAATATTATAACATTATTTACGCGCCAAATGTGACGTCTATTAACGTAAACGTTTGTTTTGTACGTTTACGTCATATCAACTCAGGAAGCTGAATAAAGCGAAACATGTTTTGATACTTAATTTGTGTTGGTTTTTGATCCAATTATCCTATTGAATTCAAGTCACATTCTGTATCAGTACATTGTGTTATAATATATTGTGATATCTTTTATATTTTACCAAATCGATATTGTTGTACATTTCCTATAACCTATTAAAATAGTTATTCTTTTAAAATAAGACTTGACAATGAAAAAGGAATACAGCGTCACTTTAAGCAAGTACACTCAGTACAATGATATCGGCTAGGACTTAAAGCTTACAGCCCTACAGATGAGATAACGATAAAATTTTAGAATGCCAACATATGGAAAAATAACTATGCACACATTTTGAATAAAATGACATATGCAAAACAATATTTTTATATAACGTGTGATAAAAACACGGCTAAAGCATTATTTTAAAAATATTTTATCCCACAACATTATCGTGGACTGAAAGTACCCGTAATATGTAAATTACGTTCCATGTTCTCTTTGTATTTTTTTTTTAGAGTATTAGTTTCGAGGAATTAACATGATTTTAGAGACATGCTGCATATTCAAATCAAAGGGGGGATATATGTGCGAGAACAGTTCTATTTATGGAAAAGTTCTGCATTCGATGCTTTATAGTTTATTAACAATTATCGTATCTTCGTAAGTGAAGTTATATATGTGAAATAAGAGTAGAAAAAAGAAGAATTGATTATCAAATATGCAATTACCTCGACGCCATATGCGTATTGAAATTCTTTGTTAACTGTCAACCAAAAACCATGCCATGCCACTATGCCATATTGTTTACTGATTGAATGACCAATTTCTTCATAAGAAAAGACAACATGTGTGCGTCCTTTGATGACTGATGGGATTAGACTCACGAGCCGATGACCTGCCAATCCTTTTGGTTATGCTACATAGAAAGACAAGGAAAACAGTTAAACACATGATAACATAAATTATACGCGGTCAGTCGTAGCATAATGTCCAGAAACTACATCAATTCCTTTATTTATATCTGGCAGGAATGAAAAAGGTGATACATAAAACGAAGAGTATAATCGGAAAAGATTTAATTTTGTGTAAGAAATAAATTATAAGCTAGGTATACTCAGAATTTATAGTACTGAGCAGATGTCCACTTTACACGGCCGATCGCACATCAAGTTTATGTTGCGATAAACCCTTATTACCAAATGCAACTTTACAACAAAATATCATTCACATGTGAGTGTAGAAAAAAAAAATGTTATAAATGTTTGGCCTCCCAGCAAGATAATAAGTGAAAAATAGTCTGCTCTACCCAACAATGTCAAATATATACATACTTTATACATTATCAAAGACCACGCCCACAACTAACGGTCTAAGACCGCGTGGTAGTACTAATTTATTTAAATCGGCATTTAACCAGAGGTTTATACGACCAACATCCGAAAGGTTAAGATTGTCAAAGCTTTAAATATTTAAGCTACCCATTTTATTTACAGGTATAATAACAATTCTCAAAAAAAGAGCTGGCACTTATTCTAAACAAATATAACCAGTCTGTAGAAAATTCAGTTGTCTATATTCGATAAGGGTTTTTCACGAAAGTTGTATATAACCATTACTGTTCGTTTTATCTTATATTAACCACCTACTGAATAAGTGGATGATAATTGACACCACACAAGAATTGGTATTAGAAATAAAATGTACGCAAACTCATTATAATTTATATTATGCGGTGAAAAAACCCCAACTAAATTCATTCAATGAATAACAACAGAATTCTGCTTCAGATAGGGCAGATACTGCAGTAATTGAAATTCGTAACATATTGAAATATAAACCAGATATATAGATAAACAGTATAAATCGTCAATGTTGAATCACTATCTGTTTAGGAGAAACCAAGCACGTGTTCGTGCTGATGGCACGTGTTCGTGCTGATGTGTCTAGATAACTAGAAAATTGGGTTTTCAAAAAGTAAAAGAATATTCAAATGTATTAAACAGTCGGAAACTAAAAAAATCATGCACTTTTATATTGTATAATACTAAAGCTAACTGATTTATTTAATTAAGGCAAGGTAGAGAACAAAGGTAGCGAACTCACTAACTATGAAATACAATGTACATGAGAGGTAGAACTTAAAATCGTAGAATACAATCTCTAACTGTTTTAAAAAAAAAACAATTATGGCAAATAAAATACTTATCTGAATGTTAGATGATGGTATTCGGCATTTTAAACCATATCAGCTGCTATATAAACATCGGCTGTGGGTTTTAATGAACGATGTAATCACGTTGGAATTTAAGCTAGAAGTGATTTACTAAAGCTGTAGGATTCTACGCACGGAATTCATGTGACAGAGATAACGGTGTAAACTTCTAAACCTGTTTTATACACGCTTAGACGAGTGTTGATACGGTCATGCATTAATAACCCGCTAAATTAAAACGCTTTATTTAATAAAGAAAATAAACCTACATATGTCATAAAATTTGAATCCTATAATAAGTTTTTTTTCTTTCAAAAACTAATAGCAAATCTTAAAAAACGGTCAAAACCCGAGTGCGTGGTCTATGCATTATGTAAATAAACGCAACACATTATATACAGTTTTGATAATGTGAATTATTATTGACATTTTATGTAAAGATGATATATTTAGAGAGTGACCTTTCAATAAATGGATTTATAGGCACAAAATTGTCATCATACTGTAATAAGCTTGTCTGATTTATGTCTTATTTTTTGTGGAAGTAGCCGACAACCAAAATATATTGATAGGCTTTTATCTAGGGATTAGACTGACGTATTTTCATAAAACATTACCTTATAAGTTAAATAAATATACACCGCACAATTGAAGTAAGTTTTCTCGTAATAAAATATATATTTATGAAATATTTTTGTAACGAACAAAAGAACAATTGTTATTCGGAACCCTCTGGTACTAAGTCCGTTGAACTATACTCTTACGTATAACGTGTATGCATGAGTTACCGAGGTTGGTATAAAATAAAATGACGCTGCATTTAATCTATGATCTATTTCCGTATCTTTTCACATTTTCTTTTGATACGATTAACTTTGATTAAAATAATATGATTTAATATAATAAAATTGTTAAACCAAATGAAGGTTTTAGGTGGTAACTGAATGAAGGCAAATTTATACATACATTGCCTTTGCCAACATAGTTACAAAGTGAGGGCTTTGAGGTATAGACATTTATCTTGTATAAAGCCGATGACTGTAACCATTGGTCGGCCTGTCATTAACATTCCTTGTTTGGGCCAAAATAGTTATTACAGGCCATGATATTATTTATTTGCATTGTCAACACAAATCCTGTTCGTATACAACTACGGATAAGCTTTTTATGAACAAAAGGTAAGGTAATTATGACGCTTTAATATTTATTTGGCAACATTTAGTACAGTGGAGTCATCACCTGCGCTTGTCTGTGTTCTTTTGCGCAATCTTTGTGACAGCCACAAATATTAATAAAGATAAATCCTGAAAACTTTCGGCAGAAACTAAAATATATATCATAATCGTTAGTAATCATATACAATTTAACAATAATAAAAGCATTAAGGTTTTGGTTGAAATATAATTTACAGTTCTTTGATGTATATGATATAATACGGCAAGCAGACTTCGCAGCTGCAGACAAAGTTATTCCCTCCTGAAAAAAATACGAATAAATGTCATCGGCGGGATTGCGTCTATGTCTTACTAATGTTGTCCGTTCTAGAACAATGCTGACAGCTGAATGCTACTGAATTATTGTCGCCTCAAACTTTGCCATTTCAGTTCAATGTTCGTGTAAGTGTGACATTTCTTCGGCACAATTTTAACTTAATTTCTTACATATAAACACATTTCAGTTGAAAGTAAATCTAAAATCTAAAACATAGTCAGTATCCAATATTCATTGTCACATAGACAATGTTTTATAACCGAATATTTGTATTCAGACATATATTTTAGAAAATAATTATATTGAGTACGGAAATATCACTTAAGATAAAGCAAAACACTTTTTTCAGCATAAACTTAATTTGTCTTTTGACGTCTTATCTGTGATACGCAGGCTTCATAACCTCTGATCCCCTTTCAAAATTCCATTTTATTTAGTTCCGCCCATTGTTTTCTCGTTTAGGGCACACGCTTTTTATTACTTGGGGACCATACGCCGCTTTTCATGGAATGGCACTACTGTGTCACATTGAAGGTTCCATGATAACCGCCGTATGAACACATCTGCGGATGTTTCTAAATTCAAAATTTTACTATTTCACGTTTAAATGTTGAATTCTGCTTAAGCCGGTGCTAGGGGCGTGGACGGTAACTTGCACTTTCCAGTACCGTCCATGAACAGGCTCAATCAAACCGAGCCTGCAACATTTTCAATTTTGCCGTGTTGGGCTTTCTTTAGGGATTCTGTATTTATCTATTTTAATAACTAAATACCATTTTCTTATGACGTTCCAAATGCTTTAATCATTCTTTTATTTTTTCTTGCGTTATAAACTGTTGAAAGCTAAATCATGTAAATGATTGCCAATTCATACATATATTTTCCTTTGTCAACATATCATAGATACATTGCTTACATTTGTAAGGTGATAACCACATGTTTCTAGCGTCTTGTTTTTAATACCGACCAAAACATGTAATTGTGATAGTATATTTATTGAAATTAGGAAAAAATAAAAACATAAATAATAGAAATATCATTTACTTGGTATTATTAAACAATTAATCATTTCCTCTTGGCACATTCGAGACAACATTACTGTCATAAATTAACAACCAATGGCATGTTATTGTTATTAACCAATTGTCATAATTGTTTGTGTTTTCAGTAAATTCCGATGTCAAATTTAATAATTAATTTCAGAATAGTTAAGAAATTTAACATAGTTTTCATTTCTAAATTTCTTTTTTTTCATGTACATTTTTGTTTTTTTTAAACCATAATTCAATGATTAAGTGCCTCTAAAGAAATTAACTGTTCCAAACAAAAACGTTAACAGGTTAACACTGTCACTGTAATTTTAATATAATAATACATTTTCCAAACATTTGACCACCCATGAATGTCTTTATGTCCTACATATATAGGTAAATACCTGGAGAATAAAAAATAAAAATAAATAACTTGAAATGCGTAAGTATCATGTGACAATGTTATCTTATCCATTAACGTGTACATTGCTTGTGAGTGTTGCTAATTGATTGTTATACAGTTTGTGGAATATATATTGCGTTTAAGAGTAATCACCATAAAATACATTTACTCTTAGTTTTGAATGGTTTTCTACATGATAATACAAAACCAATCCTACAGTTAAACAGTTTGTAATAACAAATTTTTATTGCACTGTACTGATCAATACTTAAAATACTTTACAATTTTATAACACATACATTTCCTGATTTAACCATATTCATCTGCATCTGAAACTGTTACAGAAACTACATCAAGTCAAATAACAAAGCATTTGAAACTCTAAGAGCATGAAATTAGGTATATCGCCTTGCAGTCTGTAATTCTCCTTTTTGTGTCAAAAAGAACCCCTGCCTTAATTTGTTTACATTTACATCCTGCTTGTGATGTATTGATAGTAATCAACATGTTTGCCTGTTGCTCTCTGGCAAATAATTATCTGACCTTTAAGATATCAATCATGTTGTCAGTTTTTTCCGTCTACATTTTAAGATTCCTTAGGCGTTGCTGACTCATATGTGTCAAAGGTGATTTGTAGCAATTCCAAACTGACGTTGATTCCTTAGAAAAGTGATAGACATGTTCAGAAACGAAAAGTGAATATTTATAAAAACATTCCATGATATGTATGTTTATATAATTATTTGCTGAAAAGTTTACGAAGGGTTTATAAAGATTTAAAAGGCTTAATCAGACTTTCTCATCAACATGTTATTTTCTTCTTCTAAAGAGTATATTTCTACTGTATTTAAGTAAGGCCTGTATAGTAAGTTTAAAACCCTAGTAATATTTCTTTTTATTACAAAAAATATTTTATGTCATCTTTGATCAACATCTAAAACTTTCAAAATGTTGACATGTCCTTACAACAATTTAAAATTCTTGACGACAATATTACGTTCTCTTGAGAACTGTTATACAATATTATGTACAGTCAGTTTTGTAGTACTTACTCAAATGTAATGATATCTGGTCTGTTAGACAGATTTGTAACGCTTTGTCTTTGATTGCTCTTTAGAACTGTGAATTTTTGATGGATGCGATAAATTTTCCACTTTAATCACAACTCAATAAACACTGTTGTCAAAATCAGATAATATTATAAAACTTTTTGCTATGGATCCTTTATTTCTATGATAAGATAATCTTAAGTCTTATCTTGAAAAAAAAACTATCAAAAAATCCATGCAAGTCGCGGATGAGGCAAATACTTTTATTTTGATATAAATTGCAAAAAAAATATTTTTCGTACATATTGCCGGACAAAATCCGCGAGAAAAATGGCGAATTTGTTTGGTTTAACGTGTTTGTCTTTTACTTAACTATTTACAACTGAAATATTATTTCACTAGCAAAGCTTTGATAATAAAGGACGTTCTTCACAATTTTGCCATCAAACTGTAAAATTAATAATGTAAACTTAATAGCAAATCCCCTTATAAATGTACAGCTCTACCACATAATCAATGGTAACATAGCTACTTACAACATGACAAATTTTAGCCGTAACAGTATGAAATCACTCCTCATTCCAGCAGTAATACAACACCAACAGCGCCATTAATATATCCATTATCTGTGAAACCTGTTTCTGAAGCATTTGTTTCATTAACGATCTATTTAATTGCTTTTAGTTGTAGTTGTGTCTACATGAATATTTGTAATATCTGTATGGAAACATTCAAGTGTAATGGTTCAAAAATAATAAAGCCATCACAATTAATATGCATCATTATTGATAAGTCATTGCTAGTTAAACCAATAGAGCTGTCGACAATATTATTGAAAGAGGAAAAGGGAAAATGTTAAGGTTAACAAAACATTTATAAGCATTATTTCTTCTTTTAGAATTTTAAAACATTTTAGATGAAGTATATCATTATTTATTGTACAAGTTGAATTTGCTTTTGTTGTATCCAATAATGAAATGATAGAACCTACTTTGTATTTGGTGGCAGTTAATTTTTCTTAAACTTCAACAATTGAATGAACCCATGCGACCAATCTGATCTTGGACTGGACTGTTTGCTTTACAGTCACTGTCAATTTTGAAACAGTTCCTAAAATGACAAATG